CCCTCCCTCCCTCTTCGAGCCTCTGCTCCCTCCCTCCCTCCCTCCCTCTCTAGCTATCCTGCGCTCAAGGATAGCTTTCTCCGAGTTCATTTTCGCAGCTGCACCTGGTCCATATCCGGCGCTCAAGGATAGCTTTCTGCAAGTTCATTTTCGCAGCTGCACCTGGTCCATCAATGCAACCAAGCACGTTCTTCATCCAAGTTGGCACCTTTCTCCTGGGCGACCTCCACGACTGCCCTGCTCCACCTGCTGCTGTCCCCTACAGACGGCGACGCCCATCTCCTGCCGCTCGTGCTCCAGCTCCACCTTCGTCTGCCCAGGAAGTGCTTGGAGAGAAAGGAGCAGGGTAACAAGGCTTCTGTCGGTGAACCTGCGGAAGGATCATTGACACCTGGACAGGCGAACTCCCACCACGTCAGCCAGTCCTTCCCCCTCCTGCTCCCCCCCCTTTCCCACCCCCTCTCCCCCAACTCGCGATCCCGCGATCTCATTCCCCCCCGGCTGCGTTCTTCTCCCCCCTACCTCGCTACCTCGACTTCCCTCCAATACCCCCACCCGACTTTCCCCGACCCAGCGCAGCTGCGCCCTGATCCCCACTTCCACCTCGATCCCGACCAACCCCCCACACCGTGCGCACCCCGCTCCATCTCCCGCTGCCCTCCGATCCCGCTCTCCACTTCTCCCTCCCCCGGCTTCTCTCCTGATCCCGATTCCGCTCTTCCCCCACAGTGACCGTCCCCATCTCAACTCCCCCCCCTCTCCTACCCACTCCCCCTCTCGATCCCAACCCAACTTCGCCTCGCCCACCTCCTCCCCCTTCGCCGATCCCGATCCCGGCTTTGCCCGCTTCCCGTTTCAACCCCGCCAGACCACGATAGCTCCTTTCCCCGCCCCAATTCCGCTCCCGCTCCCGACCATTCCTTTCCCCGCTTCAATTCCGCTCCCGTCCTCCTTCCCCAACTGCGCCCCGACCCTCTGCTCCCGATCCCGATCCCGATCCCGTCTCCCCCCACCTTCTCCCTTGCCCTCCCGCCACCCCCGCCCTGATCCCGATCCCCCCTCCAATCGGCGCCCCCAAATCAGCTCCCGATCCCAAATCCCCCTCCGCGTCTCTACCCCCGCTCCTGCCCATCCTCCTTCCCGACTCC